TATCACCAGGACCTTCTGCACTATAGCCTACACAGAGTTACAGAGAAGAGGTTAACCTCATTTGACCGTTAATTTATTCAGTTCAGGGCTTGCATGTATTTAACTACTTAATGACTGCAGCATTTTTGTCATTCAAAAAACAAAACGGAGACACAACTACATCACTGTTGCTTGATAATGCAGTTAAAGTGCTGATTACTATATTTGGAAAGTCCCTTATTGTGTTCATGTGCTTGTAATAGATGTGGCATCTGGGGTTTGACCTGCCAAAGCAGTGCTGCATTTACATGCTAGACTTTCACAAAATAAAAACCACAAACAACCACTGAACGATGTAAATATGGTAACAACATACATAAAGACTATCATTCAGTTTATAATAACATTTCATGATAACTACTGCTCAGTGTGATCAACCAACACACACGTTTCGGGAAGTGGGAAGCTAAGAAAATGCATAAAGCAAACCCGATATGTTCCTATTAGTGAAGCTCACAAACGACGCACACACCTGTCCATGATAAAGCTGAGGGTTGTCAGGGTTTTCCGTAAACAGGAACATGTTTATGAAGTGGAGCAGTATGCTGGGAGCACTTTTGGACTGAGAAGGAGCGTAAGCAACCCACTTATAGACCACCATGAACACCAGGTAGCCAAACAGAAACAGCATAAAGAAAAGCTCTGGGATCAGCACAAAAATCAAACTGCTGAACTTGCGAAAGTGCCTGTAGAGAAAAAAAAACAACAACCAGGGAGAAACCAGGATAAGAACATGAGGATGTGAAGGCAACACAGAGCTAATCTGAAACACACAAAACAGGTGTGCAAGCGAAACACATGCAACCAAAGGGTAAAGATTATTTACCAGTAGTTGAAGAATGACAAGCAGACTCCAAAAGTCATGTGAATAATGCCGATGATGACTGACATCTTCATCTTGTAAGAGTTTAGGAATGTTAGTTTGTTGTTGGACATCCCCCAGACCTGACGACAACATCAGAGAGAATAACTGGAGTTACAATCGAGACATATATATATATACATATTTATGTGCATATTTGATTGGAGGACGATGAATATGATGGGCACACCGGGTCAATGCCAAATGGATAGGGGCTTGTGAAAACGCCGGGCACAACAGGATCCATGGATAAGTACTGGCTCCCTGCCAGCACCGATGAACTGAAAGAGACCCCACGAAGGTAAAAAAAGTGTGTTGAAAATGGACTAAACAGAAAATAAATATTACTTATTATATTATTGTTTATGATTTATTTGACCTGTATTTTGTGTGTACTAAAAACTCAATAAACACATTGTTGGGGAAAAAAAGCAAATACGTTTCCAGGGTGAATATACGAAAATGTTCTTACTTCCATATGTTTTTTTCAAACATTGGGCCGACGTGCCAGGCCGAGCTGAAGGTGGCGAGGCCTTTGCTGAAGCACTCGTTGTAAATGGCTCCCGTGTAGATGGAGAACAGTCCCATCAGCAGAATCAAATACCTTCCACCGAACATCATCCTCCAGATCTGACACACAAAGCGGTCAAGGACATGTTTTAGTACGTTAGAATTATTTGACTTATTTACATTTAAACATAAATGGGAAGCTGTGTGACAAAAAACAGAATGCAATGATTTGGAAATTTATTAATACGCCCACATTTTATTTACACAGAAAACAAATATTAAATGTCAAATATTTAACAGCTGGAGGAACAACGTGCAACAGCATCTTAGTCAAAGTTTTAGAGCAACAAATCCTCTCGTCCAGTCAACGTCTTTGAATATGTCAGTAAGATAACACTAAACCATGTGGTGTCTGAGGGGGGTGGTGCCACACAGCGGGAAACATGGCCGTGTCCCAAATCTTTTGCGTCATCTTGTTGCCATGTTTTGTTTTGTTTTCCTTAAATTGGTACATGCTTTCAGTTTAAACAGTTAACATGTTTTCTATGTCGTACTGTGAATCAAATATAGGTTTATGAGAATTGCAAATGAATGCGTTTTGTTATTATTTAGGTTCTATGACGTTTTTGGAATTGAGGTCACAGAAACCATTGCTACTTTTGCTCTTAGGTGATTTTTATGTTGGTTCAACCTGTAATGCCACTAAAAGAATGAAGCCAGAGGCATGTTTGTGCATGCAAATTTCAAACCACATGCAAAATTTACAAGGTACTGGTGGATTCCTTGGCTCACGCAGATTATGAAAACATTCTGGAATTTCAGTATATTTTATGGGGTATCTGTTAAACAGGAAGTGAGTTCATTTGGTTATTAGTGTGGTGACGAGCAGGTCCTGTGGAACAGAGGAACAATCTAAATGTGGTCTGTTGTTTTACTGATGCTGCTTGGTCTGAAATTAAATTCAAATTCAAATTCAAATTCTTATTTGTCACATACACAGTCATACACAGTATGATATGTAGTGAAATGCTTGGTTAAGTGGCCTTTAAGTTAGACATTTTGTTAAATACAGAGTGTCTCCTCTCCTAAGTTACCTCATTGTTGTTGTTTCTAAGTTTGGGATCCTTTTCCTCGAGGACCATCCAGAGAGCAGTCAGAGTCATCAGTAAACCATGGCCCACGTCCCCAAACATCACCGCAAACAGGAAGGGGAATGTAATTATGGTGAACAATGCTGCAGGAGCATTGAGAGACGAGATTTAGCCAAAGACAAATACCTGAAAGACTTCACTTTGAACACATTTCATGAGGAAATGATTTATGTCATCTAATGACGCACCTGGATTGACTTCACGGTAGGCTGCCACTCCGTAGGCGTCTACAATGTTCTGGAAACCTGTTGTGAAGGAGTTGAGGGGAAACAGAGTAGGTGGAGGTGTAGAGCAAGGCAAGCGGTTGTAGAAAGAGTCAACCCCACTGCCGCTTTTCCTCTGAGGTCGGAGAACAGGGTGGGATAAAAACAGGAAATTAGGTGATTTGCTCATCTGTGCTTTTTACAGCTCTATGTTTCTGCTCGTGTGTTGTCTCACCCCTCCCTCTCTCAGCGCACTCTGCAGTTCAGGCAGCTTGGCGGTGGGACACCAGGCCTCAGCGATCAGGCATTTGTCAGTGACAGAGGGGCTGCAGAGATTCAGTACCGACTGGATCGCCTTGCATTTCTGGACGCGCACCTTCCACTGGGGCAGAACGGCCACCGCCTTCATCAGCAGCTGCTGCAAGAAGCTTTCTGTCTGTGACAACACCTGAAGTCGCAGAAGGAAACACAAAAAGAGGCGCGATGAATGTTCTAGAAGCACTGTAATATAATATCCTATGTAGAAACTATAAAACCAGATATTACAGTCTTTTAATTATTTTGATGTGAATATGTAGTATCAAAAACCAAAAGAAAATCACTCACTGATTTGATGTCTTCAATTCTACCTTGAAGTCCCTGGAGAACCTCCTCTCTCTCAGCAGAGCTCTCGGGGTATGCAAATGTCTCAGTGCGGAAGCTGCGAGGAGGGAAAATCCAAAGAAATTCAAGTTCAAAACACGGCAAGGTGCAGTTTCAGAATCTCAAAAATAAAAGAAAGAAAAAAAATCCCCACCAATCGCAGATCTTCTTGACTTTCTGTCCAATTTGATCTCCCCAGAAGGAAATGAGGAACACGGTCCATTGCACCATTTCCCCCTGCAAATGGAGAGAGAGCAAACTGCTGTGGTAAAACACCTGGAATGAAACTCACAGCACAAACTCTCTGCGATCCCCTCTCCTTTTCCCCGAGCTCTTACAGTGTCAGGGTGCTCAAGTCGATCCTCCATTTCTCTAAAATCCACAATAATGTAACCGCGACACGCCCGCCATAACAGTCGCTCGAACGAGGGCACCTTCCAGGGGTGGACCACTCCTGCCACAAAACTGAGGGAGAGGAAAACTGTTATATAGAGAGGAAAAAGACAACATTTTACTCTTTAACATTTAATTGAGACCTACCTGAGTCGGACATCTTGGCGATTATCAAACAGACCTTGGCTCTCCACTGCACCTGGTGGCACCTGTGAGAATAAGACAGAGAACATTCTTTTTTAGTTTTCCTCATGACAACAATTACAGAAAATGGAGCAGAAATGGAGTTTTTCACCACGTGTGACGCCGTGAGAGAGTGAGTTCTGGTCAGGACTCCTCGATACTGGGAGAGCTGCGTCAGCTGAGCCCTGAGGCTATCTCTGTTCCTGGACACCTAGTAGGAAACATACATGATATTCCATTAATCCCAAAAATTGTTCTGTCTCTCGTGGTGTACTAAGCAGAAAACCGAAGACTAACTCCTCGGGCTCTATTTTGGCGCTCACCTCCTTGAGCTCCCTGGCGAGCCTCTCGCTCTCCTCCTCTATGGTGATGAGCTCACGGGGCTGAGGGGCAGAAGGTGTCGGACACGGAGGAGGGAGTGGACCCTTTAAGGGTGGCGAGCGATTTATCTCCTGCTCCAAGAAGTCTGGAGGGTGGAAAAGGTGGATGATGAATCATGGAAAATAAAGAAGATGAATGGAAATGTAAAGAGGAGCATTATGAGTCAGTACTCACGGAAAGTCTTCTCGAGATCCTCGCATCGTCTGACCTCGCTGACAAATTTCCTCTGAAAGGAGTTCACGTTGGGGTTTAACTGAAAGCAGAGAGCAGAGAATAAGGTTACTGAGCGAGTCTACGTGATCTTCACCAAAACCCATGATGCAGTCTGTTGCAGGTTAACAATTGCACTGGACTCCATGAACTGCACCAAGAAGAAGAAGAACGGCATAAAGGGTTTAATAGACTCACGTCTCTGAACTCAACCAGGCCCAGCTCTCCCAGCTCGCTGACACAATTATAGGCCGAGCCGGACTGAAGAAAGAGCTGCACCAGGCACACCTCCTCGCTGCGAAATATGGAGCCCATGTCTGTACAACACCAAAGAAACAACTTTACACACACACCGTCCTCTGGATACAGCTGAGTGAAAGTACTGCACCATATAAAGAGGAATATGAATTTTTAAAAAAAGACAGACAATGGTGTAAACGGTTGGCATCTACTTTCAGTTAGAGCAATAAAAACTACTCAGTGCAGAAGTAAACTTAAGAAAGAGGAAGCATCAGGTCCTCCTGACCAGATGATCAGGTGGGGTTTCCACTGTTGCACGTACATGTGTCTGCCAAAATTAGCACATTGACTCTTTTTTTAGTTAAATAAAATAATCAAAGATGTACATATATATTAAAAAGCATTACTATATTTTAGAAGGGCACAATAAGGTGCATTATTCCTGCTTTCCCCTATCTACATACAAAGCAGTTTTGTACAAGCGCTCTACAGTAAACCCCACCTTTATGAAGGTTACAGTGTTTGATCCTTTTTTAAAAAGCTTACAGCGCTGGATCATTTTTCAAAGCATTGCGGTGCTCGCACTATGGTCAGACTAACCTCATACATTTGGAGGAATGACCGGTGAATTGGATCTAACAGTTTCTTCATAAACTGAGCGTTAAGAGTGTCATGAAGGTGAGAAACCGACAACTAAGAATATATACAAAATTACTTATATCATAAAATAAATGTAAGATGAAAGGAGCGTGGCTTCAGTTTATAAATGTACAAAGATCCATACTGTTAAGGAAAAAGCATTTGACTTCGGGTCTTCTTCGATCTATCGACTATTGTCTCTGCTTCTCAGCTTTTGTTGCCTGGGGCAAAGTTTCGTTTTCTCTATAATCGCTAGCACACAACTCGAGTGAAGGAAAAGCCGAAACACTGAAGCGTTTAAAAATATATATTTAACCCATTAATATCAGCAACATTTAAGAAAAGTAACAGAGGGATTTGGTTTAGTCTCGGCGACAACTATAGGAGATAAAGCCGCTTGATAAAAACACAGATTTGAGCTGAATGTCGGAAACCTCACCTGTCTGGCTCTTTACCTCCGCTGCAGTTCGACCTGGTGTCTGTCAGGCAGTCTGGTACCCAGCGGGACGGATTGACCCGGGTCTGCTAACCTGGACAAAGCAGACGCGTCTGCGAGACTTGGGGTAGAAGTTCTCTGGCTCCGCACTTCCTGTTTGTGAGAGTCACGTTACTGCAGGAGGCACGTGATAGTTACCGTTTGAATCTCGCTCCACCGCGAGAGGTCGAGATTTTAGGATCTTTAATGGCGGTAACGACTCCAATAAGTGGATGTTTTGCTTTGTTCTTTTTTATTAGAATTTTAGTTTGACAGGAAGTTAGAAGCTTATTATTAATAATTCACGGTTTGATATTAGAGTTAAGCTCATCTGGAGAAGCTGGTTTGGTGTACAGTCATCTGGAAACCGCAGTCACATGCGTTTGATAAACCCAGACGTGCCCTGTTTTTTTCCTCTCCTAACTTTATTAACTACATACAAACTAAGGCCAGTACCATAATTTGTAGCATGTGATGTCTCCAAAAGATACATGCTAACGTTAGGGACACTATTCAAAGTAAAAGTCAACCATGCATTTAAAACATTGGTTTTTAATTAAGTTCTGTTACATTTAAAGAAACTGAAAAATAGTTCCTTTCTTAGTAGTTTCATTATTATGCAGCAGGCAAAGGAAGAATGTAGAAGTTTACAACACTGAACACTTAAAATTCAACTGAGATGTTGTGTAGGATTTAAGTAGAAATCACAGCCTCTAAGCATGCAGATATGTATCATAGGCGTGAAAACCATGGCCGTTTTGGGCTTTTGATTTCTTTAAGCTATTCTTTCTCTAGGGTGGAATGATTGTACAGCATAGATCTTTAATGGTTTAAAAAAAACAAACAAACAAGAATTCAGTGCACATGTTTGAATTTATTGTGGATTTCCTCTAATCCACACATAATCAAGTCTTTTAATTAATTGGTGCTGAAGGTTCTACTGTGTCTTTTTACTTGAAAACGCCAGCGCATATTAACTTCTTGTTCATGTGATCATGAGTTCCTCTTTGCCAGCATAAAAGGGATTTGTTATGCAAATGTGTCACTACTATGTCAGGGGGGTGCGTGTATGTCTGGAAGAAGACCTAAACTGTCACCGTCAGATAAGAGGAAAATGGTTACAATGAAGCATGCCATTAACTGGAAACTGCTGGAACAGCAGCATCACTGTCCACAGTGAAGTGAGTTTTAGAGTGTTACGTCACAACGGACTGAGGATGCCAGTCGAAAAAAAAAAAAGGGTCCTGCTCCAAAATCAAGACCTTCAAGCTCAACTGAAGCTTGTTGATGGAGACCTAGATTGTCTGCTCAAGGCAAGCCCTAAGGAAACATTTAACCAAATATCAATGCAAGTATGCAAAAGAGGGTAAAAAACACAAAACAATCCAATCCTCCTTGTATGTAAACCGGTTACCGCGACTGTATCAAAAATAAAGATCACTTTCATTGTTTGGTATAAAGCTCAAACATCAAGAAAGCAATGAGTAAAATGCATTTTGGTTTGAAAGGAACTTTATATTTTGGATGTATCTTGTAATGACAAAGTAACCATTCTAGCTGAGGACCCCACAGTGACAGACACTTGTATGGCAATACAAAAGATATTTTATTTAATTGTAAAAGGGCAGATGTGCAACAGGTAAAACAGCAGGTAATAAGAAATACACACCCGGGGGGAAAACAAAAGACAAAAATGTTTAAATGGAATCAATAAAACAGGAAATGAAATGTGGCAAAAGTTCACAGAAGTACATCAATTTCTTACACCTGTTGATCTCACTGTACATGACTGTAGATGTATCTTATCTTACCCTAACGATATTATAATGAAGCTGGTCTACACTAAGAAGCAATTATAGTTTCCAAATGACCCCCTCTCCTTTCATACATACACACACAAAAAAAAGAAAATACTACAGTAAAATCATAATTGCTGGCAAACAGGAAAGGAACTTAGAGGCTTTTCATGTCATTTTACATCATTTAGATTTCAAACACATAAAGCCAACAAACATGTCGCACTAACCATGCTGCTTCAAATCGCTGACAATCTCACAGATTTCTTCACTGGATATGAGGACCGACTCACTAAAAAAGATGCAAAGTTAGCACAGATTTCTTTTTTTCTTCCTTTTCTGATAATGAATGTGTCGGAGGTAGCGGCAGCTCTGACACAGACTGTTCTCATCTTAGTTGCCCTCCTCCCCTCATCTTGAATTTCTGCTTTTATTTTTTACAAACTGTAAAATTTGAGGCTTCTGTCCATTGCTGTAGACGTCAGGAACCGGGCATTCTCTCCAAAGGCCACCCCAGTCACCAATCCTGTATGGTCTGTGGTTGAAAAGAAAAAGATCAGGGGTAAATGTCACATGCATACTAGTTGAAAATCTCGAAAGAGAGTTGACTTTTTTTTTTGTCTTCATACCGGTGAAGTTGAGGACCTCAGACCACTGCTTGCAGATGTAGACACGGATGTCAGACCCTCCTACAGCCAGGTAGGTACCACTCTGATCAAACACAAGGGACTTCACCTGAAACAAAAAAAATGAATGGATTAGGCTCAGAAGCAAACCTAAGATAAGTTGGACAACTTCAAAGCTGGTCTACAGTGAAACGCTGGAGTTTGGCTTAGTAAAAATGAAGAGAACGCAGTGAAAAACTGATAATCTGGTTCTTTCTGAAGTTAAAACAATCCACCCACCAGCACCCTGACAATTATACATGCAACTTTTCATCCACAGCCATTTATCTCTGTGTGCAATGACAGCCTACAGGTGATGCTAAGACTATTTCTCAAACACTTAAAAAATTCCTTTAGAAAGAAGAAATCCCAAATTTCTTACCTCATAGTTGTTGTCCAGAGTAATGGTCTTGAAGTTCTTCAGCTTCCTCAAATCCCACAGTTTCAGAGAGCTGTCTTGAGCACCTGGAGCAAACAAGGATAATTAAGTTATTTTTTTTCTATTGGCACACCATTTTTATTCTTGTAAGGCTGAAGACACTGATAAATCTCCAAAACTATGCAAGTCATTGATGCACAAGTCACTTTTGATACTCTAAAGAAAATGTAGCTCTACAAGTTTATGCACATTACAGACTGATGGCTAATCTACGCAAAAAATGCTATCAAGTCAGTCTCACCTGTGGCCAGATAGTATCCGTTCTCAGAGAAAGCAATAGAGGTGACAGGTCCAGAGTGACCGGGGAAGTTGGCCACGTTGGTGCGCTCCTTCAGATCCCAAATCTTGATCTGGGAGTCCGCAGTACCAGTGCCAAAAATGAGACCATCAGGGTGGAACTGAGCGCATGTGAGAGCTGAGGGGTGCAATCAGAAACATTATGCCTGGAAGAGGACTGTTATTATGACTATCAAATGCATTAAGCAAGCAAAGAGAAACTTACCACAGCCAGCACTTTCATCAGTAACTTTGGTGAGGACTCTGCCTGTCTGGATATCAGAAAAGGCCCAGTACTACAGGATAAAAGTAATAAGAGTTAGAGCGGTGAAGCAGTTTAACGGCAAAAAGGTTGATCATTCAGTAATTAAGTTCAAGGCCTGTCAGTAATTTCAAGCACGCACCTGATCCTCAGAGGAGCTGAGCAGGTAGTCTCCAGTAGCATGAAGAGAGAGACCAGTGACGCCTGCCTCGTGAGCACGCACCACCTGCACACAGTTGCCCCCGGTGACAGACCACACACGGATGGTGGTGTCTGGAGAGGCGGAGAAGACCACGGACTAGAGGAGAAAAGACGGCAAGCGAGTGAGAAACAACAGATTAAAGGAACAATCGTTTTAGTCACATCTCCATTAAAATGGAGGTGAATGTTTGCATTTAGGTTCTCAGAGGACAAGTTACCTGAGATGGGTGGTAAATGACAGAGGTAACCTTCTTGGTGTGACCCTTAAGCGTTGCCACGATCTGCTCTTCGTTCTTGTCAAACACCACCACGTTCTTATCAGCTCCACCTGGGAGACAGAACAGGTTTAATATCAGAGTCTTTGTCTGGCATCCCAGCAAATGAAATACAGAATGAAAGATTGATTCAGTGTACCGGTGAGCACTTTGTTGGTGTCTGAGGGACACAGATCCAGAGACAGAATACCCGGCACACTGGCACTATGAAGACCCTGAAAGCAACATAAGAGAGAACGTTGATACATTGGATCGCTCGGTGAAACAAATGCATCCTCGTGATCCTGCATAATCAATACTTACAGCATGGGAGGCCACTTGGCGGTATTTGCCGAGATCCTCGGCTCTAACCAGATCCTCTGGGACAGTTTTGCCTCTCTGTAGAGAACCACAGTAAAGCAATTAAATGAGAGCGAGAGTAAATTATGCACAAACAGAGCTTGTGGCAAAACAAGTAAAACAAGTGTTTGCACATTAGCAGCTAAATACAAGAGAAATATAATACCTTCTTTCTCTCTGTAGTGAGGATAGTAGCCTTGTCTTGGAGCTGCAAACAGAAAAAAGCACATTTAAAAACATCAAGCAATTATGACAAAGGTCATAATGGTAAAAAATAATCAATAAAAAAAAAAAATCAATATTACCTTCTGGATGATTTCTGGAGTCATTCCCACTTGTTCACTAATCTCCATAGGCTCTCCACCAGCCCCCTGGTGTAAAAAAGGCAGAATTAAATATTGTTTAAAGGCATGATTTGTCAGTCTGATCATTGTCTTATCAGCTGAAAATAAAGCCCAGCTACTCACTGCTGCAGCTGGCTGAGAGGCGGGCACTGCCTGAGGGGCAACCAATCCGGCCTGGGGTTTGAGCGTGGCAAGAGCTGTGGAAAGAAGAAATCAACTCATTAAAATAAATAAAACACACACATAATATCAATGAATCCAGGTTCATTTGGACCAGACGATCACATTAAAGCCATTTCTACATGTTTCATAACTGTGTAGAAACCCAAACTGCTGTCGACCCACCTTCTCTTGCAGCTGTGACCTCTTTGGTGAGTCGAGCGATGACTCTGCAGGCGGCATCGTGCTGATAGAGGGCGTGTGAAAGTTCTTGGCGAGTAGTCTGCAGCTGCTGCCGCAAGGTGAAACTATGAAGCATTACAGCATCCTAGAACAGATATCAAAAAGAAAAAGTGAGAAAGGAACACATGTATTATTTCACAAATTTTAAAAACGAAACAAAAACAAAAAAAACAAACAAACAGATGAGGTCTTTAAAAGTTAACAAATAAGTTCAAAACAACCAGACATGTTAATTAACTTGGTTCTTCAAGCATTTTGCAGTCAAGATTTTAGAAAATAAATTTAAAAAAAAATCCCACAATATACTGGATTGTTTGAAATATATCTTTAAAAATGTATTAAACTCACTGGAATATGTGTTTAAATGAAATAAGGAGGATAACAAGATCGAACTCGCTTTTTTGGTCTCAGCTAAAAAATTTAAATCAATGTACCAACCAAACATATTTTTTGATCCTCTACTAATAGAAATGAATTAAAATTGATTCTAAAGACCCAGGGTTCGTCACAAAACTTGCAATTCAAGAAAGGAAAGGGGCAAATCTTCCATTAGATTATTCTTTTGTGGCACAGATTAGATTTATAATAATGTGTTGTGACCCATCATACAATACACAATTGAAAACAAACAAACAAAATAAACCCAAAACAACTGTCCTGTTGTTAAAAACTGCCAGAGAGGGATAAATGGTGCACTGTAACACACTTTTAATAGTTAAACTATGTAACACCCTACATATTGATTTTACTTCTACATATTTATAACTAATTTATATTGATTGATTAATAGCTGACTCCCTACTTGTTTAAAGGTTCTTAAATGTGTGTGTGTGTGTGTGTGTAATGTGTTGTTGATGTAGTGTTAAACATTAATAAGAAAAATCAATTTAAAAACAAAATGATACATACAATAGATACAGTATAAAGTGCTCTGTTCTTTGCTATCTCAGAGTTTACAGGACTTACCCATTCATCTTGAAGGGACTTGAGAATGGCAGGAATACTGGTTGCCGATGGTGCCTTTGGTCTAATAGGATGAGCCACTAAAAGACAGGAAACATCTTCAGTAACTTATCAAGGCTTATTTGCAATAAAATTTGAGCATTTAAGGGCATATGACGCACTGATTTTCTTTTCATATATAAATCTTGATAATGTTCTATGTTTCTATGAATATCACAAAGAGTAGTTCATGAACACCAATCCAAGTTTGCCTCACCCCTGAAGGCCACACAAATAAAATGAAAACTTAGAATATTAGAATATTCTGCTTCTTCTGAAGTTGAAAATAAAAGTTGATTTGTTTGGGAGGTTTTATTTTTCGCTTCACTTGAATTTTTCAGGTATCGTTTGGTTTTTTTATATGATAAATACAATACAGTACAATGCAACACGCCTGCAAACTTCAGCCTACTAAACCAAAGCCGAGCATCATGCCACTGATAACGACCTCTCTCACGGAAGTAGCATTACTCTGTATGAGCTTTATTAAGGTCTATTGGCTCATAGAAAACACCCAGAAACCCACCTTTGATGTCTACGAGCTGCTCCTCGGACAGCGGCTGTCCGTTCATCGGGTCCGTCCCATTCTCTGCGATGTACTTCTCGATCAGCCTGCGTTCAAACACCTGGTTGGACACCGGAGAGACGCACGGGTGCTCTGGCACTTCATTAGAAACTGTAAAAGAGTTCAGTTCCGGCTTTTTAACACCACATAACTACCAGCAATTTAAATATACACACAATTAAAAAAGAGAGCTCGCTGAACTATATAAAAGCAGAAGGCGGTACTGCATGGCCGCTGACGCTAGCTAAATCAGCTAGCAGCATTAGCGCGGTACCGTGCTAACCGGCCTCCGTCATATCAATGAATTCAGCTTCACCTACTTGCACAAACCAAAGCCATGTTCCAGGCGGAGTCCTACAAGTCTCGTCTTAAATGTGATTTCTGCTCGCGCTTTACTTTAAAGTTGTTGCAGCTAAGGTAGACTTTACTTCTGTTTGGAAGTAGCACGCTGTCCTTTCATTGCCGCTACGACGAAGATTCTTCTTCTACGCTTTGAGTTAGCTTCAATGTCCCAAACTCTGCCACCTAGCGTCATGCGCTGATGAGAACGATATTAGTTTTAGCCAAATAGACGCTCACGACACCAGAGTCAGAATCAGCTTTATTGTATACATACAAGGAGTTTTTGCATTTAGTGTACATGACAGAGTAGCCAACGTACAAACAGAGTAACAACATGACACCAACACGGCACAGACAATAATACATTTATGGCATATTTATAGTGCAAAGTTGCAGAGTGCAAATCTGTTGGAATAAATAAGAGATGGACAGCTAGTTAGTATATATACAGTATACCCATGAGGATTGACTATAAATATATATACGGCATATAGCTATGTACAACAGGACAGAACAGTATATACAGTATGCTTTGATTCAGCATCAGGTATGGTGGATGTTTTAAATACAGAGACTATGTGAGTGTCCTAAATGTTTATTAGAGTGATGGCCTGTGGAAAGGAACTGTACAGATGGCTGCTTTTTTGGGCAAACGGTGCTCTGTAGCACCTACCAGAGGGTATGGAGTGATATTGCCTGCTTGTGTCCTGACTCTGGATTTGTTTTTCCTGCAGACTTCACTGTCTATCGTAGTCTGTTCTTGTCCTGCATGGATGCTGATCCAAACAATACCGACACGAGTGAGCAGAGAACAAACTGGATTATTGCCGAGTTGAATAGATCATCACCTCCTGAGGCAGGTTGAACTTCCTGAGCTGGCGCAGGCTCTGCTCTGCCTTTTTGATAATAGTGTCTATACTGAGTGACCACTTTAGATTTTGGAAGATTGTGGCGAGCAGGCATAATGGAGGACTCCTCAACTCCACTGTTACTGCTACAGTGTATTCAGCTCTAGGCTGATCTGACTGCACCACAGGGCCAGCTGTTCAACCCCACATCTGTGTCCTTGATAAGGCCGATGACCGTCATCAAACATCACAATTCTGACTGACAGGTCTTTTGAGAAACAGTCATTTGCGCAGAGGGAGAAGAGCAAAGAGAAGAGGACCACCCCTGGGTGGCCAATATACATACAGTGTAAAGACGACATCATCTAAAATGTGTTTCTTAAAGCTTCTTTTTTTATTTTTTGAGTGATGACATTTTGACATTATGAAAATATTACAAGCTTTGGGGATAAAAGGTTATCCTGCACACAACATTCAAATATTAACTGCAGTATTTGGTGAAACATGTCACATAACTATCATAAGTAGAATTACCCCAAAGATTTAATACACTGCATAAATTGTTAAAAATGCAGACAAGCTATTTAGAATAATAATTAAGTATGGACAACATGATGGGTGACAACTTAAGTTAAGTCTATATTGCTGTACAGTATTAATAAAAATGAAATTTATCAAACGTTACCACAACAACTGGTGGGTAGCCCTAGAGACTGTCTTAAACACAGGAGCAGTGCAGATCATATTGGTCCTGAGGGTCCGGAGGTAGGTAACGGCAGGAGATTTCAGGAGCACCATCAGGCAGTACAATATGAGACAGGAAGGATTATGCTCAACTCATGCTTCAGAAAAATTACATCACAAAGCTAACTATTAAAACCGTGCATAAGGCACAGGTGAGGTTCTTCTTCTCGGTCAGGAGCATAACTTCACCGTTTGTGTGATGTCTCCATGCTGTACGATCCTTCTTCCCTTATCTCTGATCCAGTTCTCTGTTTTATGAAAAGTTCAGATTCTTTGACGTGTAAATACTGCAGGATTCAGATGTGTCTGTGTCTAGTGGCAGCGTGGAAAAGAAGTCTTGTGATTTGTTCCCCCTTCCCTTATCTCCATCCTTTTTGATTTGGAACTGAACGCAGTCCTCGGATGAGTGGAGGCAGTCTGAAGCTCCGGGCACAGGGAAGGAAATCCTGTCCTCGTCCTCATTAGATTTAGCCTGCTAACAAGGGATGTAGACACAAATTTAAGCAAATATCATATTAATCTGTGGCATCTAAATATTCACAGCTGGAGAGCTGTATTACCTCAACAGTTAAGTTATGACTAGGGGAACTCCCAGCTGTTGCTCTGTGCACATCCTGGTTCTCGGCTCTTGGAGACCCTACCGTTACCGGAGCATAACCCTAGAAATACAAACAGCAACAGATATGCACAAAGACACAATTGAAATGAATGATTTTAGCTCCCTTAAAAAAAAAAAGAAGATTATATTAGTTAATCAGTCTTACAGTGTGAACAGGACTGGCTCTTGGGGTCCATTTCCTTGGTGTTCCAGTCTGCTGAGAGTAGCTGTAGTGACCTGGGGGCTGAGGAGAGGGGGGACTGTAGTGCTGCAAAAAAAAACAACCCACAAACATAAATAAACCAATAACGACAAAGACCTAGGAACTCATCCGACTCACAGACCATCACAATTCACCGGTTACTGCTCGTAAAAACAATAAACGTGACCTTCAGTGATCACTGTGTCCAAGGTTCTTGTGGATTGCGGAGAGACAGCCAGATGACGTTTGCCTTGCTATGGCATGAAGGCATGGCGAGGCTCAAATAGAGATAAAAGAAGGCTGAAACAGCAAGCCCTATTTATGTTACCATCTGCTGCTCTGCTTTCACATTTCATGTTTTGGAGAGTCAAAGGGTGAAATGGACATCGTGGACCGGTGTGTCTGTTAAATGTTTAGCCGTGATATCAGGTTGCTCCTTGCTAGTGATGTGTGTGGCATCATCACGCTGACATCTACAGAGCTTCAGTCAAAATACTTTGGACAGAATATATAAAAATATCTACAAAGTATCTGAAATAAAACATACCCACTGAATAAAGAGCTTCTACCATAAGTTTTTTTTCTCCATACTTTTTAAAGATACTTCAGTTCATCAGACTCTCTGGAGCAAAAAAGAAATGTCGAAAAACGTCAACATGTGGCTCCTGTCGGTGTCAAAGTGCATGCATCTGCAATAAGATTGGCTCGACGGCTTGTAATCATTTATTTAGCTGTGGACTCTCCTGGTTTCCTCACCTGGATGTTGACCCTCGGGGGGTTGGCTGGCAGCGTGCGGTGTGTTCTAAAGCACGTGATGAGTTGGGAGAGGCTACAGTTTGGGTAGCGTTTCATGAACAGGATGAAACCAGCCAGGGACACGAACATGCCAGAAGGGACAGTGACGGATTTGAGGAGCGCTCGCCAACTCCCTCCCCTTTTGTCTGAGAAGATGGCAGACACATGGATTTTAGGAGGAGTGGCAACTATGGATCAAACAACTTCTGACTGATGCGTGCTTCCAAAAACGTGGCACAATACCCACCGATCACGTGCAAGTAGGTGGAGGATACCAGGTTGCCATTCCTGTCTTTAACTTCATACAGCCCATCATGCCTTGAGGTCAGCCTTGCAATGACCACCTCGTAGATGGAGCCGTTCCTACTCAGTGAGATGATACCCCTGTAGCGCAGGTCATGGTCCGTTATCTGCCCCTCACGGATGAGCTGCACAGGGCCACGTGGGGGTTTGGGGTCAAAGGGGCCCAGGGAGGATTCATCAGGAAAATGGCCAGGGGTAAAAATGAGATGGGCATGAGCAAGAGGAAGAAATAGAGGCAGGATTATGGACTCTTTGGTAAAGCGTGTGATGTTGAAGGAATGCCCTGCATCCATCCATGTGTAAAATCATGAAAAATGGAGGAGTGGTGAATGTGGAAGTATGAGAGGGCATCAGATAGAAAGGGAAGGATAAAACAAAACCATTAGCACTGTAAAGTCACAAAGTTAAAGGTAGTCAGTCAGCTTCTTAAAACCCACGTTTCTGCTCTGCTCACCACGGACGGTGAGGGTGCTGCGACCCAGCACCTTCCCGTTGTCGTCTCTCACGGTGTAGTTGCCTTGGTCTGCTTGCGTCACTCTCTCCGCCACCCAGACCTTCCCCCCTCTTAGCAGCCGCCCCCGGCCAGCGTCACCGGTTTCGGGGTCTGTCCGGTTCCAAAGCACGACCGGCACAGCCTCAGACGGAGCGCCCCGGTGAGAGAACTCCAGCAGGGAGCCATTTTCGGGGATGCTGTGCTCAAAAGTCTCCCCATAGTTTCTGCGGTAGGGTTTAATGCATTCTGAAGGAAGACGAAGAACCGCGAGATAAGTGAAAGACAGAAAGAGAACAAGTTTATTTAAGTACAATTTTGAGATGCAAAAGTTACTTTCTTTTTAACTAAACTGGTGAAAATGAAAGTGATATTGCAAAAGACCCACTCCTAACACACATCAGTATACTGTAAATGATCACAAATCAAAACGAAAAGAAAAGTGATAATATATCTTTCTTTATGATACTTTGATGAGTACATTTTCCTGACAATACTTGTGTAGGGACCATTCGTAGGCTATGCATGCTTACGGCAGTGGAGAGTTTTTTTCGTGTTCAGCTGCAGGAGAGGTGGGAAAGATTGGTTCAGGGGGCAGTGCCAGGTAAAGTAATGCCACACCTGCTGTATATTTATACCAGTTAACCTCTCCTCTTTTTATGCAGCAGGGGTGTGGCTGGCAAACGTTATTCACACACACACAAACACACCTGACACGGAGTCAGAACAGTTGCTACAACTTCTCTGCTTTAAGGCAATAAATACATTGCCTATATGACATCAAAGGATATTACACATTAAGTTATTAAATAACTTAATGTTTCAAGCAAAGAGAGGCAGATCATTGAAAAATTATGGCTCTTTTGCATCATGACACAAAGCAATGAAGTTCGCCAAAGAGAGGCAACTGTCATACCCGAAACGATCAGACGGACAGTCTCGTAGGTGAAGCCCATGGACAGCTTGTTGGCATAAACTCCCTGGTCAGCATGACTCACTTCTTTCAGGACTAACGACTTATCCTTGGTCCACTCAAACCGTGGGTCCTTAACCTACAGTTGCATGGCAGATCCATTTTTAGGCAACACAGCAACCAAACACACACACAAAAAAAAACAAAACCCCAAGTGCCAACACTCGTCCACTCACAGTGGTTTTCTCCAGCAGGATGCGTTTTGGCCCGTCGGGATACGGTGTAAAAGTCACGATTCGCGACGTTGAGTCCACCGGTAGACGAAACTCCTTCCCGACGCAAACAGTCTGAACTTTTTCTCGGTCACCTGTTGAGGTGCAAATGAAAGTCAGCAACATCATTGGAGACCATGTGGTGCAGATGAAGGATGCATGAGGGGTAAAATGTGACTTTTGACTCACCTAGTAATTCCCAACCTGCAGGAAAAGTACGAGTAACATAATTAATAATTTTCTTCAGACCTCAGATACGGACTGTAAACTCTCCTACATATGTAAAAGGTTGACCTACTTTTATGTTATTAGGTCATTTAAGGTCATCTATTTTGTGACAGATTTGTCTGCTATGTGATTTGACTTTTAAGCTCTTTAATTCAGCATATGTACACGTTTATTAATTGTTACTGTTCACGTACTGACTTTATACTGCATATTTTTCCACTGCATTTTCTCTGGGCACCTCTCACATTTATTATAGTTTTGCATTTTGGAAATTTACATTTGTGAGAATTATATTTCAGAGTTTAAGTGCTAAAAAACGAAAATCTCTGCTCTTCAAATCTGGGCTGGCCATTCTTCTTTGCCTTGGTTTTATTTAATCCAAGACCCTTTAATGAAATGGCTTTCTAGAAACATTCTGCAGATAATGGTGACGTTATCGGCAAATGTATTAATTAGTCACTTTTTTAAATAGTAACATTGACTTCACTTTTACTACGAATAACCTAACCGTAATATAAAGCACCAGTAAGTGCATTATTAATAATTATTTAAGCAGAAAGAAACAGAAAAACTACGGGTAGTCTTATTAAAAACTGGTGCCACACTTACCCAGTGCAAAAGGAAGGGTGAAAAGTGCAGTGTAGAGGACGCAGGAGGACATCTTCTCCTGTAAAAGACAGCGGATTGTTTCATCTGTAAACGTAATTGACATTCACACCAACCCTCCTCCGAAAACAAGCGGCCAGACGGGACAGCCGATCATTAATCAACAAGCTGCAAAACGCGGGGAGCTCAGCGACAGCTCAAATGATGTCGGTGCGGACTCAAGCTACAGCGCACTGCACACACTCATGTCCCCCCATGACGTCCTGTCCGCTCTTTGAAGTCATGTCCACTCAGGTGTCCAACATGTTTCCCATCTTCTGAACCATTGCAGCGCTACTACGGGCTGCCGGGTCATCAGTTACCGATCATCAACAAACGATTACTCAGTTTGCGCGTAATGTGAACTCACCTGCAGGATGTGAGGGTAATTTAAAAAAAATGTTTTTGTGGATGAGGATAAGAGGATAACGACGACCTCCGCAGAGCGCGCATGCCCACTGCTCCCCCTTCTGTTATGGCGAAGGATACGTCGTATTCTCGGCCGCTGATACGCAAAGTGCGTCACATTTTGCAGTTCTTGTAAATACACCGTTAGCCCAAGGGAACGTGTTTTCCCTCCCTTTTACTATGCTGCTATATTGTAGACTTCCGTAGTAACTCGTCAGATTCTGACTGTACGTGCAAATGATGAGATGATCTTAGAAAATATAAGAGATCATAACGCGAAATGGAAATCCTCTCACTTAATAAATTTTCCTTCTTGTTAAAAAAAATTAACAAAAGTTAATTAACAAAATTAACTTGTTAGTTTCTACAGTGAGGGAACATTACTTGATCTCCAGATCCCCAGAAATAAAGAGTCTCTAGATTTGATGGTAGTTTCATTTTAATGGGAGACCAAAAATCCAGGAGAGAAACACATTACATAAAAATAATAAATTGATTTCATGTCACTGAGTGAAATAAGTGTTTTATCCCCAAGAACAACACAAGCAAGTTCTTTGTGGAGAAACCCTTGTTGGCAAGCGCAGCAGTAAGATGTTTCTTGTAGTTGGTCACCACGTTTGGACTCATCTCTTTTACTCCTCTTTACAGAAACGCTCTATTGATTTTCTATGGCAGGAATGTCAAACTCTTATTACACCATATTACACATACAGCCTACTTTGATCTTAAGTAGGCAGACAACATCCCTCAGATATCTCAATATAAGAAGTCCAATTTCATTGATACATCTTAGTTTTACTACATGATAAAGACATTTTGTCCTATTTTAATATATAAAAATCAATAGAAATCACTCAGCACAACTCTTCTGGCTTAAATGATAAGAAATAAATGTAAAATTACAAAACTGATTTATCTGTGTGCCACATGGGCACACGTGACGTTTGTCTCTCTCCGTTGAAATGAAACAAACATAAAAATTAGAGACTGTTCGTGTCTTTGTAAATAAGCAAACTTGCAAATTCAGGAGTGTAGGGTGTGTGGTTTACCTTTATTTGGGGAGGTTTATGTGTCACATGAGATAAGTAAAGTCCTTAACAGTGCACATGCTTACACTTTAAATATGTTTTTAGTATGGGTTATATGCATGATTAAAATAAAGCAGGTTTTATGGTACCGGACCAGTTATTTCCCAGTGTTTTTATGTAACATGTTTAAAAACGTCTTGACTGCGATTCCTTTAGAATTCATTCCTACTGAATTCACTTGAAATGGGACGGCAGCCAACAAAACGACGCGAAAGTTGTATTTGTATCCCCTTTAAACTGCTTTTATTTATGATATGGTGGTTTTAAAAGCGATCTTGGAGGCAGAAACAACACAAACGCCTGGTTTGTTATTGAAAAGTATCCTGGGAGATGGGCCCTGTGTACAGTTACAGTGGGAGAGGTGGAGCCTAAGCCACGCCCAGTCCTTCTTTTCTCCACCCAGCAGCTGCAGGACGCACAGAACTCAATCACACAAAACAAGTACGGTCTCATTATTCTTTTTCTGTTTGTCCACAACTTCTTCTTAGTCAGGCTTTTTAATACTGAATATCACCTGTGTCACTGATTTGCTATTTTCGGGGTTAATTTTTGTGTGTTATCCGAACATTTCATTACAGAAGGGAATGCGGTACGGATTTGGTCTTGGAAGCTGAGGGAAAAAACACACAGAAAAAAGACCCTCAAGTCACCTCTCTGCTCTTTTTCTGCGGGACATGTCGCTTGTGTTTTTGATGTTTTCCATTGTCTTCTTCGGTAAGTAGAGCTCATTCCCACATTCTAACATATAAACACCTGAAATCTGAAATACAACGCTCAATGGTTTGGGATTATTTACAACAAACGTTAATTGATTTCCATGCCACACACTCTGTGGGTACAGCATGTACAAAGTTATCCAATCTCTCCGTGGAGCCAGGTGTTAAGTGGCACTCTGCCGGAGCGAATTAAAGTGCGTGCATGTTGTAGTAAAAGACGTTTGGTGTTGTGGGGCTGCTGTAGACTAATGCAATTTAAATCAGTAGCAGAACACAGGAAGAACAATACGCATAGTCTCCACACCCATCTGCTATTCCCAGAATTAGTGCTTGGTGCATTTCATTTATCAATAAATTATTTGGGAAACATAAACACCTATCAACGTACATCCACCCATAAATAAAAATAAATAAATAAGCAAGCATATTGTTGTTTGTTGTTTTATGTATACATAATTCAATTAAGGCCTAATTGAAGAAAACAAAACAATAATCTGATTAATTTCATTTAAATATAAATATACAGTTACATATTTATGTGTTTTAAACTATTCACGGTATTTATGCATTGTCATTAATGTCTTTAGCTGCAAAGTGAAAGGAAATGTTTACACGACGGAAACCAGAAAATTCAGCACAGCCAAGATTTCTTTCCATTAGCTGGTTTGACAAAACATATAACCTCAGTCAGAGATAACGGGTAGCACGACGGTGGCAATCAACTTTTTCTTATTCTTTATTTGTCTTCTGCTTCCGGCTCTGAGAGCGCTCACACGTAAATATGGGCGTTTTGCAGCGTCACGTGACTCATCGTCCGCATGCGATAATCCCATAAGAGTGGCGCTTAAAATGGTCATTTATAATATTTAAAGAAAAAACATATCATATCCATTCAAGTTAATCACGTTATCACTGCTGTTTAAGGTAA